GCGGGTGGGGGGGGGGTTTTGGTTGGGGGCTGGAGTTTGGGTTCTGGGTTGTCTAGGGGCAGCGGATGGGGTAGGGGTAGGGGTGTTGGTGTTGGATTGCCTAGCCCTTAGTCTTATTTCCCCGGTAAGCCGTTCCTCCATTGCCAGCATCTGCTCCTGGAATTTCTTTTCCAGTTGGTGGATGAAGCCCACCATGATGCCTACGGTGACGGGGCGTCCTAGTTCCTCCTTTTCTTCTGGTGTGAGTTCGACTTCCGTCGATTCATACAGGGAGGAGGAGGGGATGGTGGGGCGGTTTTGGGCATGTGAGGAGCTCGGGTCGTTGGTCATATTGCCCATTGGGGTCCCCGGGATTTCCTTTGTCGTGGTCAAGGGGGAAGAAAATCGTACCTGCCTTGGTGCACTCTGGGGGGCCGAGCTCTCCGGCACTTCGCTTGGTCCGTGGGCGTGTTGGCTGTCTCCTAATCCGGTCTGGTCTATGTTTTTCCCGTTTCCCAGGGACATTGCTACATCTTGTGTTGCTTGCGTTTCAGTTACTCCGATGTCTTGAGACTGGTCCATGGGTTCGTCCGTTTCGCCTAACGGTGGGGAGGAGGCGGGTACCTGTGGTATCTGGGATACTGGTACAGGGCTTTCTTGTGACGGGTGGTAGGAGGAGGCTGCTGCTGCCAGGAAAGCTAAGGCGTCGGTGTCGGCTGCATCTACCGCTTCATTGCCAAAGATTTTCTGGAGTGTGGTCCTGAACCCTGGGAGCTCCGGTTGGGGTGCCGCTATGGTCGGGGCCTTCGTGTTTCCGGTGAGGAGGACGTAGCATGCATTAGTGCATCCTAGTTCCTGTCTGACCTCGGGGAAGGTACTTCCCCTGGCCACGATTCTGTTTCCCACGTTGATTAAGGCGTTGGGGCATCCCCTTTGGTGCCTAATAGTGGCGAACATGGGGAGGGTTGAGTTGAGGGAAACTCCTTGAGGGGAGCCGGGCGGGAGGAGGCTGGGGGAATTGATCCTTGGGCTCTTGGTAGGGCTTCTGGGTCCTCCCAGGGGAGAAGGAGAGTGGGGGAGATGCGGCAGGGCCGGAGACGAAGGTTGGGAGGTCATGGTGAGTGAGTAGGATGGTCTTATGGCCAGCGTCCTAAACTCTCAAAGGAAATGAAGCCTTAGGATGGAGGGCTGTGATTGGCCACACCACCTAAGGGAGGAGTATCGTGAGTGAGGGGGTGGAGTAGTTCTTTGAGTGAAAATTCTGGTTGTACCGGATAAAAAGATGATGTGTACACAAACAAAAATAAACTTGGTGTGGTTGCAGGAATGCCCCGCTAACTGTACCGGAATTTCCGAAATTTTTCTCGCTCCGTGTGTGTGTAAACCTTTTATTCTTCCACTATCTCACCTACTAACTAAAGTAATCGGAGTACGGCATGAGATACAGCCCCCAGCCCAAGGCCCCCCTTAAAGAAATCCCCCTCGCGGGCCACCTGCCACAAAACAATCATTACATCAACGCACAACAAAAGAAACAACAGCCCAGCGCCCGCACCTACACCCAACCCTACCCCTAGCAACATTAGCCAAGCGTCCACGGCCCCGAGTCGCAGGCGCCACCAGAAGGCGGTTCCCCGGGGAGCTCCCCATTAAGCGACTGTACCCCCAAGCCATTACAGCAAGGGTTATACCGCAATGTCGACAACAAAACCGAACGGTCAGCGGAGTTCGGGACAGATCAGTCGTCGTCATATTCGTCTGGGCCAGATGAGGAATTGTAGATTGCCGAGCCGTCACCGCCAAGCATCTGGCTGCGCCCCGAAGGGGGGCGGGCCACACCAGTTGAGCCACACCCCAAAAGAGGGGGTAGCGAAGGTCGATTTCTCCGGGTCAAAGCCATCCCCCCCATAGGGGTTCAGGAACACCGGGTTCGCGCGGGGGCCCAGCTCGAAGCTGGGAAAAGACAGTGAGGGGCGCAAGGCCCTCAGGGGGCCCAAGCAGGCGAGAAGGAGGACCAAGGAGGAACCGGAATCGCATGAGTGTCCGAACGGTCGCTCCGAAGAGGGGGGGAGGACAGCCTCCCTATACGACCAACTGTATCCTGGCCGGAAACCAAGAACGCCCGACCGACAAGCAAGAGCAAAGGAGCGTGGGGAAAATTCAAGGACCGCAAGGTCCACTCGGTGCCGTATCAATAGGCAAACAAAAGAAAGCGAGCCAACGGAGCACGAAATGTGAACCTTCCGAAGGTGAGCAAGTTAAAGACTTGAAGCCATCGTGAGACGCTCTTCAAGGGCGTTTGATTGGGTGAGCCCCCCGAACACCGCACTGATACACCTAACCCTCAGAGTTGAAAAGAAGGAGACTGTGTGTGTGTGTGTGTAAACCTTTTATTCTTCCACTATCTCACCTACTAACTAAAGTAATCGGAGTACGGCATGAGATACAGCCCCCAGCCCAAGGCCCCCCTTAAAGAAATCCCCCTCGCGGGCCACCTGCCACAAAACATCATTACCCGCCCGAAGCGAGCTCGCAAACACTCCACCACACAAGAAACCCACCCCGCCAGCCCAGCCCAACCCCGCAGGTTCCACCCTCCTCCTCGGATGCCCCACCACACTCGGCAGATGCACGTGCGCATAGCCCCGACCCCACTGAAGCACTTATTTTCTACGGTTCTCACACCGCCGCGTGACGAGACCGGGATGCTGCATCCGGGCCACCCCTCCCCAGCCAAGCCAAGCCAGCAAACCACCACAAAATCCGCAGCCGCACCCCCAAAAGGGGAGCACCGCCGCACCAGCCGGGCCACACCCAAAAGAGGGGGTGGCAAAATCATTTTCTCCGGGTCAAAGCCATCCCCCCCATAGGGGTTCAGGAACACCGGGTTCGCGCGGGGGCCCAGCTCGAAGCTGGGAAAAGACCGTGAGGGGCGCAAGGCCCTAAGGGCCCAAGCAGGCGAGAAGGAGGACCAAGGAGGAACCGGAATCGCATGAGTGTCCGAACGGTCGCTCCGAAGAGGGGGGGAGGACTGCCTCCCTATACGACCAACTGTATCCTGGCCGGAAACCAAGAACGCCCGACAGACAAGCAAGAGCAAAAGAGCGTGGGGGAAAATTCAAGGACCGCAAGGTCCACTCGGTGCCGTATCAATAGGCAAACAAAAGAAAGCGAGCCAACGGAGCACGAAATGTGAACCTTCCGAAGGTGGGGAAGTTAAAGACTTGAAGCCATCGTGAGAAGCTCTTCAAGGGCGTTTGATTGGGTGAGCCCCCCGAACACCGCACTGATACACCTAACCCTCAGAGTTGAAAAGAAGGAGACTGTGTGTGTGTGTGTGTGTGTGAGGTGAGGCGCAGGAGAGTGTTCCCTAAGGCAGGTAATGTGCGATAGAGAGTGGGCGGAGGGGTGTTCAGCATAGTGCCCAAAGTGTGGAGAGTGAGCGGGGAGGGCACCGCACTCATGAACCGTTTTCGAGCCTTTTTTGAAAGATCTGGACTCTATCATGGAGTGAGGGGAGGCATTTCTGGACCAGTTGAGCCAGTACGGTGGGTATCATACATCAATGCTGTGGTCGTGGAAATAATTTTTTTCGTTTCAAAACCACACGCTGCTGCAGAACCTTACCTTACTTTTGCGGATTATAATCGTGGGAATGTGAGGTTGTCATTATTACCGTATGGTAAGTCTCTTGCTCCTCGCTGTAGCTAGGTTATGCTGGAGCATACGGGAAGAGGTTTTCACAGCTACGAGTACTGTATTGTAGACCGTGATACCGGTACTCGTATGTAGCTAGAATCACTGGCCGCACCCTGGAGCCCAGTTGGCCGAACAGGCCTAACATTCCTGGTTGCCGCGCTGGTTGCCTCCTTGCCAGCGTCCGTTTCACCTCCAGCAAGGTTAGGTGTGGCGTGTTTCAAGTTTATTCCCACGCGCCTACTCGCTCTGGAAAAGCGGCAGCTGAGATCTGACCGGGTTGCCACAAGGCAGGGTTCTCGATACCGGCTACTTCGAGTATCCACCTCTGATCCTAGTATTTCCCGGGCGGGGGGAGGCCCCGTAGCCTCGACTAGCTGAAAGAAGGGAGGAATGCGATACCGTACCAGTACCGTACCCCATACCAAAGGCATTTCCCGATGAGGCTTTGGGTACGAGTACCGTGCTCGTACAAGCACCGGCAGAAGAATGGATCCGGGGATGGGAGTTTTGGGGCTTTGGGGGTCTACGCCACAGGGCTATCATTGGAGCGTTTGAGGAGAAAGTGTAAAATATTGATAGAGACTTGTGTTGAGCCACGAAGTATTGTTAACGGAGAGAGTGAACCAGTTATGGGAGGTTAAGGCGCGCGTCAAGGATCGCAGCAGCAACAACAGGTCCAGTGAAGGGAAAATTCTGGAATCTGATGTGGATTGCAGGATGAATTGACAGTCAAAATGGGACAACAAAGACTATTGTGCGAGCTGTCGATACCATACCATACATATTATGATACCATACATACCAGATACACACACTCGCCAGACAAAGCACAGCCGAAGGGAAAAAACCAACAAACAAAGCTGTTGTCTCCGAGTCGGTCGATCAATTGGGAGGGAAAGAGCTCGGGTTGGGAAGTATTGCTCGCCCCTTGGCAAGGCCTTGTCTTCCCCTTGTTTCGCCATTGACATTTGCCGGCGCGAACTCTGCGGGTGTGTGGCTTGATTGGGCTTGATTGAGTGAGCGTGATTTTGTACCGACGAACCAATGAGCGCGGGGATCCACACATCCTTTGGGACCTGATGTTGCGCATCAGGGACATTTGCGTCCTCTTTGTCGGCTACGGCGAGACACACGGACACGGACGGAGTAAGGAGAGACGGATAGGCACACACGGGCGGAACTAAGACACACGAAAAATACAAACCATTGGGAATTGTCTTGTAGCCTAAAGGGCACGGCCGTCAAATGTTTCTTTCCTTTTCCTCTTTTTGCTTAGTACAAGTATCGACGAGTGGCACAGTGAAGGTCCCCCTCCTTCATTCGTTCCTTTTCCTCCATCCAGAGAGTGTTTGTGCCTGGCGCGACTGCCGTACTTGTACCGGTACATCCCTCTTCCCCCTTGCTGACCAGTCAGATCACTTGATCTCTTTCAACTACTAGTAGACGGTCTCTCTCTCCCCTTTACTGTAACTTCCCTCCGGGCTTGCGAAGATAGTTCCTCTCATCGCCCCTCCCTTCGCGCCCGCGGCTCCCTTTCTTTTTCCCACTCTTTCACAGTACCCACTCGTTCGTTCTATTGTACTTTGCACCTGGTGTTGCTCGCCGCCTTTCCAGTATATCTTCCATTCTCTCTGCTGCTTCTCCGACGGGCCGGGTCCTCGATAATACATCTGCTGCCTGCCTCCCGCTCGCAACCAGCTGCATCCTCGCTCACTCGCCTCCCTCCGTTTCTGCATCTTCCTGCAATTTCACCTGTCTTTCCTATCACCAGGTGCTCGCCCGCTCATTTGAACAACATAATTTCGATTGCCTTATTGTAATAACTTGCACTGGTGTTGCACGCCATACATTTCCGTCCGTCGACAGATAATAATAATAATACGTTGCCAGTCAACAGACCTGTCCGATCTATCACTCACTCACATACTTACACACCCACACACTTCAATCGCGGGGGAAAGGAGGAAGAAGAAAGATTGGAAAATCTTCATCGACGGGAACAATTGAGTAGTTTTTTTTCTTTTTCTTTTTTGGAAAGGAGAATACTCCGATTTATTTGTCCTTGGGGGAGGGACACGGTAAGGGAGAGAGGGGTCACGTTTTGCTATTCCACCCTTGTCGGCCGGAGTAGACAAAAGAGGTCACTCAAGTGCATATATTATTACCCACATCAAACCTCGTCAGGGTCAAAGGGAGAGAAGAAAACCGACTACGGGAAACGGCGTACACCACGCACTCACCCATCGTCGTCAGCAGACAAACCCCGCACCCTTTTTTTTTTCCTTCCTCCGATTCCTTCACGCTCTCTCCCTTCCACCTCATTCATTTTCGGAAGCTCGCTGTGCTGTGTCGCTCTTTTTGCCAGCCTAGATCATTCCTACACCATCTTTTAGCACCGCCCAGGAAAACTTACCTATCCTTTATTTTTTCCTCATCCCCCCCCCCGCATTAATCAAATAGACGGGACTATCCACCTTCTTATCCTTCTCTATATATAAAAAAAGTCCTCACTCATTTTCAAAAACAAAAACCGTTTGTTTCTCTACCCCAACCCGAGATATATTCAGACAACAACCAGACAAGATGGCAATCGGCAGAACCCTCACAAAGAAGCCGTCGAAATACAGCTTCTCCACAACGTCGCCGACGGAGGCACAATCAAAGCGCGGCTCAATTTCGAAGATTCAGATCTCAGCGCCTCTAGAACTAATCAGCACGACAAACATGATCAGCTACACCTCTCCGTCATTGCGGTCGTCGATATCACACCCATCCCCATCCACATCGAGCATAAGCACGAGCCCGACGTCATCTAGATTCCCCCCATCCTCACCATCCTCCTCATCGGCAAGCTCAAATTCTGGTTCCGACTCGGAAATCTCCTCTCCAGACGAGCCCTCCCCACCACCAAACCATCTCTCAATGTACTTTCCTCCAGCCGTTCCCGCGAGAAGCAAATCTCGCCGCACAGTCCCTCCTCCACCTCCTCCAGCACACCCATCGCCTGCACCCGTCGCAGGGTTGAACCTAACCCGTACCCCATCCCGTAGTCAGCAGAAGATGCACTCCAGAAGCGTCCGCGCTTCGAACCCGTTCGGCGTGGAATTGGCCAAAGTCGCTGAAATAGCGGAGGACATTGGTGTGCAGGTTCGTGATGCTGAGGAGGAGTTCATGATGGAGCGTGGGTTGCAGAAGTTCTCAGCCAACGATTATGCGGCCGAGATTAGCGGTGTGTTTGACGATGTGTTGCCGAACCTAGGAGCTGGGTGGATTTAGGATTGTTCTTTCTATGTGTGTCTGGGTGGTGTCCGGTGAGGAAGATTGTTAGAGAGCGGGCGGAAGGAATGGATCGATGTGTCAAATGTGTTTTTTCTTCTCCGGGGCAAGTACACTCAAACTCATTACAGGTTGGGAAAAGCCTGCTCGTGTATTGTCTGACATCTCCATTCTTAACTCTTAATTTTTTTTTTTTTTTGGCTGTTCGCACTTGAAGTATTGTATCTACCTATCGCAGCTAGTCTGCTCTATTACACCCTGCCTGTCTACCTTGACATTATATTCTTGCACAATATTTTTTTTCTTTCCCTATCTCATGATACCACTCACTCCTACTCACTCTTTTCCTTCCTCTTCTTTCCTTTCTCGGGAGTACGGTTCACGGCGCGATATGTAAAAGTTTCTTTTTTCTTTTTTTTCTTTTCCAAATATTTATTTATTTCTGGTGTCTATTCCTCTTTCTTATTTGTCAAGTTTCCACATTTTTTTCCTCCGACATTACCATGGGAAAAAATTATGTATATAGACATGTCGGCTTTTGCGGTGTTTTAGTTTTGATAAACGGTACAGCGCTTGTCATCGCTTCGATTCGCTCAGGTTAGGCTAATTCGTTTGTCCAAAGTGGAATGACGCCGACTCTTGACACTCGGGGTAAGGTCCGTAGTCCACGGAACGGGTTAGGAGTGGAGTACGATAGAGTGAAGGTACTCGTACAGTACAGTACTCGTAGTCTAAGGGGAAGAAGGGTTTTAGTGCGTACGTGTCAGCACTAACTTTGTTCATTCCACTTCTCCTCCCCGTACGTATCGTACTCGTACCGCATTATCGTATTACCGTTAGCATGGCATTGTATCACATTGTGAGAGTTGAAGGGAACAGGGTAAACGTTCCGTTTCTTCACTCCTTCTCATTCGGCTTTTTTTCCTCTCGTTGGACACAACGACCGATCGACCCATCCATCGATTGGCACGGTATCTATACATGTACAGTACAGTACAGTACAGTACGGTACTCGAGTAGTTCTAACCGTCTCTTTTTAATTACCCCACTTATCATACAACTTAGGGACGGCAGGGAAAGACAATCATCAATCATCAATCAATCAATCAATCAAGCAATTGGGCGCGCGGAAAAAAAGCCAGAAGGCATCATAGATGTGAACTGGGGGATCGGGAGACGACGTTGGATTGTTTCTTTCTGGAAGGGGTGAGGGAATATGATTTATCGGGGTTTAGCAAAATGCTGCATCACGGTTGGGCATGGTATAGTACTGTACTAGTACTGTACAGTAGATGGTATCGTACCGTGCGGTTATGTAGGCGAGAAAGGGATGTGGGCGGATACCGTACCGGTAACCGTGTGCTCGGTTGCTTGGTAAATTGGAGCGCAAGTACGATGACTTACTCGAGTATGATATATTACATACCTGCACGGTGGTTACTAGGTTTTGGTGGGGTTTTGGTGTGATATTATTATTATGTAGACAAAGTGCTATTGCTTGTGCCTAAGGGTTTTTTCGACCTCTCTGCTTGCTGTGTGGGCTTGGCGACCGGTGGATCTTTCGGCACATTATGGTGAAGTGGTGAGGAACGATTCGGGGAATGTTCCTTTCCATGATTAGGAAGGGCTTCTAGACTATGTGCTTGTCTGCGCTGGCTTGCTCGAGAGTGGTGGCTCTTTTTTTTTTTTGGGTGGTGGGTTGCTCGGAGAATTCCCAAGGGAATTGGGAAAAAACTTTCGCTCTAGGCCTCGGTCCATCTTCGAAAATAGTGGGGGAAAAAAAGGGAATCGGAAAAGTATTCAGAGGTTTCAAAATTCGTTTGGGCTATTTGGGGAATAAAGAAACTGCTGATGGTCAGTGAGTACCGTATTTTGCTATTTCATTGTTACATGAAACCTTTTGGAAGGTATGATACCAGTACTCGTATGTCTCAGCCAAGAACGGTATCCCAACGGTACTCACAAAAAATGCAAGGCATTGTCAGACATGCAAACGGACTCGTGGAATTCAACTCAAAAATTCATTCAACAAAATTAATCGTATTGTTTCTACGTCATGAATTCATTAGCATTCATCAGAGAAGTGGTGCATTTAAAGGGGCTATTGAACCCGCTGTGGGAGAGAGGGAAAAAAAGAGAGAAGTAAACAAGAGGCAAGGATCATGAGCTTATAGACTCCCTCTCCTCAGGCTGCCAGCTCTCACCCATTTCTCATTCTTTGCCGAGAAAGGCCACAAAGGTTCACTCTGGAAACTCTTTCAAGAAAAAACCTCCTGTCTTCCATGTTTGACACCGCCATTCAACCCATCGGGGATCAAGAGATAGACTGTTGTTATCACCGGAAAGTACCGGTACAGTGGACCAGGCAGTTTCGGAGAATATCAGATTGAGCTGTTGCCAGTTTTCATCAAAGAACGCCAATGCCGTGTAATAGGACGACAGTACTGTACTCGTACGGTAATCAAAAGGGGTTTTCTCGTTTCCTGCTTGATAAGACATTCCAATTCTCAACCAGCTACCGTGCCAAAGGGAAAACAACCGCGAAAACCCGTACTCCAAACTCCGATATGGGGGCATACGTACAGTTTTCGCATCGTGAATCTCCCAATTCCTTGCTGACGGTCCTGGTGCCGGGTGGAGGGACACGAAGCTAGCCTACCGTACCGGTACTTCTCTGCTTTATATGGGCAGAATCCCATATATAAATCCGCTGCCTTGGCGCCGGATTCTCCTTCCGCCTTCCCCTTCGGAACCCACATTTTCCAGAATTGTAGAACAATTCCTGTTGCTGGATAGGTGTATCGAGAATAGGTAGATGGTAGATGGCTTGTACGGAAAACCGGGTGGCACGTCTCCCTTGCTATATACTCGAGTACCGGCACAGTACAGTGCAGCTCAGTATTATACGTATGATGCCGTGTTGTGCCGGGCAACTCACTCGAAATCAACCTAAACCAGTTCAGTACAGTACCGTAGTACACTCACTGTACGACGATGAATTCTTGAACGGTATCCACGCCTTTGGAAGGTGGCTCGGTAGAAGGTGTCCGCGAGCAAAACTCCGAATTTCCCACCGTGGCTGGGGGTCGTCGTCGTCCCCAGGCCCGCATTTGCCAGTCCCACGGTCAGCATCATGTCAGCGCCCATGGATAACTGATTCCGTGCCCCGCCCAGTGGGACCGGAGAACGGAGGATTTCCCATTCGGTTTTCTGGTACAGCACGCGAATGCTGGGTAAGATATTTTCGTGCAGGACAGGGGATAGTTTACTTTTTACTCGTACCAGCGGAGGAGATGAGATGATCCCTGCCTTGCCTGAAAAAAACAGCTTACCAGGTGCTTGTACTGTACCATCCACTACCCACTTGTACCTACTACCTATCTACCGGCACTGCACCTATCATAATATAATGATAGTCAAATGTGGTGTTTGTTTCCCATCCGATAGAGTCCCACATTACCGGTCAGCCGAATACCATAATACTCAGTACCTACCATACCACGCCGGGGCGTGATCCCTAGTCGAATTGCCATGATGTGCTCGAATACGAGTGTATGGCAATTGCTGGGGTGGTGTAGCAGGTGGGAATCCGTATCGATATCGGTAGAGTACGGGACTGGACTTGTATGGTGAGCAGTTTGCTCTTGCGGTACGCTTTCGAGGAGCTTTTTTTTTTTTTACCGGAAGCCGGTTTGCTGTCGAGTTAGCAGTGCTCAATGTTGAGCAAAGTAGGATCAGTGGTGTGCTCAGGATTTTCTTGCGACTTTGCCAACAATAGACTACCACTAAGCCGTGCAAGTATGCCATCACCACCATCTCTCGAAATGACTCCCATGCCCCGGAGGCAAGGGAGGCATCCAATCATTCCACCACCGCATATATCTCCCCGCTCAACACCCCCAATATCCATCATCCCATACCGCTCGAGCACAATACTGCCTACCAGGTCACAACCTGCATGTATGGCTGGATGAGCCAATGCATCAGTGTGAACATACGGAGATGTATATGTTGATGTGTGGATGCGTGGATGAAGTATCATAATAATAAAAAATTGTGTAAGCAGAAAACCTCTTTTGATAATATAAAATATTTGGACCTTGTGCTGTATCGTTGGGCTTTCCTCTACCATTAGACTAAGATCAGGATATCCATTTTTTTCTGCCTCGGGAGGGGGAGGGGAACGGACTGTGCTTCTGGTATGTTTTTCACCCCATATCTAGAGAAGGTATTATTTTGAGCTATCGTACATTGCGCGCTCCCCAATTATATCCGGGCCTCCACGGCACCGGATTCAACCTAATCGCACCCCACCGGCGCCACACTTCCGCCACTCTCACCAAGGCCAAACCATCCAAACAGACAAGTATCATACCGTCAGACCACCACCAGCTTCCAGCTTACTGCCCGTCACAAAAGCTCACTCGCACAACTCCTCCAACACATTTCTGTCACCCAACTTTTTTTTTTTTTTTGTAAAGTCGTGGTATGATATGATTTCGGGCATGATTACAGTATCATACATGGCGAGCACATCCTAGGACACAACGGATGCGTGTGGGAAGGAGCCCATGGAAGGTAAAACCCCAAAAGCAAAAAATTGGAGCAGAACCAAGACCCACCCCATAACCTCCGGGCCAATCTAACAACTATACTCGTTTACCTTCGCAGGAAAACGAGCAAAACCTTTTCACATTTTAAAGATCGAGTGTGTGTTTGCTGTGTGAACCCCATTCTGACCTTCCCAAGTATGATATCGTAGTAAGGTGGGAGGGGCGTCGTGGGCCATTTTACATCCAGCCATACCGGTAAGTTAGTTGTATACCAAAAGTCGCGCCAAAAGCTGTCCACACAATTGCATGACCTCCGAGAGTCCCCCCCCCCAGCCTACCCAGGAAGCGAGTCGTCCTCACCATCCACCCCACTACAGTACAGTACAGCTTTCTCCCACTCCATCCGAGGAGGCGAGTTTGACGAGGAGTCGGTATTGTCTGGCAATATCACTAACTGAACACCGGCTATTTTACTTTATTTTACCTGGATAACTTATCGTTTCCAAAGTACTCGAGGTTCGCACTCTGGCCCCCGGCGAGGATGGTGGTATCATACGGCGATTGATCATCCATATGGGGGACTGGCGCTCGTGGCGTTCAGGCTTCATCCACTGCGATGCTGCGGGTCCGTTGGATGTGATTCTCCCGGGTTGTGGGGGCTGGAATAGGGGTCTTCTTTCGCAGCTTTGCCATGATAATACTCGAGTATGGTGTTCGGTCAGAGGGTGGAAAAAATCTATGATACCAAAAACTCCGTGGTTGGAAAGTCCATAATAATATTATTATGTAATTCGATAAGTTTATTATTCTGGCACCATTGGCGAATGCAGACAGATCCCTACTCATTAGAATACCACAACCTGAAGGCTCCCCATCGGGCGAAATCATCGGTATTTCATGCATACAGT